TATCAGTATTGTCGTTTGTTCAAAAAATTAGATCTTGATTATCTTACCATACGTACTAATGCACCAGGACAATCTGCATTTAATCCTGTTGAGAGAGCCATGGCAGCTTATCTAAAAAATTAGGTGGAATTTCTTTTAGTATTGATACATTTGGCAACTACCTTGATTCTCAAGGTAAAATAATTAACAAAGATCTTGGGCTACGAAATTTTCAGCATGCTGGTGAAGCTTTATGCAATATTTGGCAATGTGATAAAATTTTTGGTAAACCAGTCTATTGTGAATATGTTGATGAGGAGTCGATGCCTTTTTCGGATGTTGTTTTTGAAACAAATTTGGGTTGTAATAATGAAAAAGCCAATGACGAATATGAGGAACCAGAAGTTGGAAATGTTGAAGATACTGAACAAGTTTCATGGGCCTGGATTGAAAATCATGCAAAAATGTGCAAGTATTCTTTGAATATTCGAAAATGTGAAGTTCCTGAATGCTGTTCACCAAAACGAGCTCCCGAGGTTGCCGCCTTTCTTGAACCTACGAATGGTTTCCTTCCACTGGTAATTCAAGACAAAGACAATCACTTTTTGAACCCGATTCATACTGTAGAATATTTAGATTCGGCAAAATTAGCAAAGTATAATGAGCATTGTCCTTCAATTAGTGCAGAACTATATGCACGTCTTGTATGCAAAAAATGTAAAAAGTACTTTCCTATACGTGCTTTTCTTTTAAATCACAAACGTCTTGCTCACCCTAAAAGTAAATAAGATCTTAAATAGATAAAACCTGTATAAAATTTAGGAATAGAAATTGAATAAATAAATCAAATTTTAAGCAAAATAAATCAAATTTTAAGCGAAATAAATCAGAAATAAAACTTATCTTTTGCGAAACGTTTATATGATCGTTCAGTTTTTATGTTATATATATAATTTTATTTTTAGAGATTTGTGTTATATAAGAGATTCATGACCCCCTCCCCACCTATATAATATTACGTAATATCTGCGAGTCCCCTAACAAGAAGTTCATTTGAGAAGATCTGAGTAGAAAAGTAGCTAGATCTTTGATGGTCCTACTGTAAAGGCTAGCCTAGGAAAATGGATACCAAAGTCTAGTATCTGGTCCTAGTAGCTGGACAGGCAAGAACCTTTGGGTTGAGAGTCTCAGAGGTACTACCAACCAGGCTGCCAGAATGAACTGAAGGAAAAAAATATTGGGCCAACCTGATATACCAATGAACTGATCATAGTTCTACACAGACTATCTGGATTGGGAGCTTGGTAAAAGGGCAGAGAAAAAGGCAGGGGTATACTAAAGTACCAGGGTTATGCTGTGAAATAGATGCTGAAGTTTAAGTAAACTCTACAAGAGCATAGCAGTTTAATGGTTAACCCTGACTGCAAATATTGGTTCTGCCATAGCAATACCTAGGTCAGCTATAAAAATATATACAGAAGGCTCTGGAGGGTTTATCTTGAAGATAAATTAGTTCTAAGGTTGAGAATGATAATCTGGTACATCTGAAATGACCAGTGATATTAATACAGATTACAGGTTCAGAGAGTTTAAAGTGAAACATCTAAGCAGAAGTGTTAGGTACAGCAATTGGTAGGGAACCTTTGGGTGAACTTCTTAAATAAGTAATATAGAAAAGTTATATGTATAGCCAATTGTACGCATTCCTGTAGTGGTTCATTGAACCACAATACTGATAAGTAATTAATAAAAGTCAAAAGACCAAAGAGGTTACCTTAATA